CTATAGTGTCTATAATAAAACATCGTCTACTTGAATAGTACATTGAGGATCATAGAAGTAGGGTGACGACGACATTAACAGTTCTATAAGTCAAGGATCAATGCAGAATTTGGTTTGAACAAGTAGCAGCTACGATTCGATAGATAATTATCACTGAATTAAGTATGTCTTAGTGCAGGTCTCTCTATATTCATCATTTAAAATTTCATGAGGTTTTTTCTTACACGTTCTTACAATAATGTCTTACACACTCTGTTGAATTAGTTCAGTCTTTAGGTTTTATATAGAAAGGACTTTTGGTTTCTTTTGTNGATAAACGAATTGATCTTGCTCTCTTTTTCACCGGTGTAGACGTTAATGGTGGCGATTTGAAAGGACTTTTGGTTTCTTTTGTAATTGATTTGATAACTGCTTCAAGGACAATTAACTGGTATGTTTCGGAAGATTATTCTTTTATCAATCGATCAAAAACACATACTTTTGTTTTACAGTTGATTCGACTCTGATACTGTTTAGACTGGAAGAGAAATTTTTCTGTTTTTCTGTTTAAAGAATAAAATATGAAAAGAACAAATTTTATATTTTCATAAAATGTTCATCTTTTATATATTCACGGAAGAGAGTGCTCGCTCTAACATTTATATTTAATGTCATTTTTTCTATATCCTTCGTAACAATAGATGCTGATTAAAACAATTTGGTAACATCAAATAATAGCGGTTAAATATACAAATCAATTAAGTCAAGTATAGTACAGAAAAGTAGTGTGCCTTGGGGTAATTATGGTCAGGTCCAAAATTTCGTCATATTTCTGCTATAGTTCGCTCAATTTTTATCCAGGAAAAGCGATATTTTTGTAAACATTTTCTTAAAATTCATTAGCTTTAATTAGTACTAATCAATTTCTAGAGAGTAACTTTCGATTGACCATAATTACCCCAAACGGGGTCAATGGTTAGTCAACGTGTACCATTGAAGTAATTATGGCCAATACAGAAAAATGGCTGTGATAATCTTAAACAACTTAGTTTCAACGTGGAAAGAATGAACAAAAACTTCGTCTTGAATTCTAAGGTTTTTCATATATAAAAGATCGATTTACTAAAAATAAAACATAATGGCGTTGTATGTATTATAATTCTCAAAAATGTCACGCTCGTCTTCATACATGTAATATTACCAATAATGTTATAAGTCCACATTCTGATATATTACATGCATATTCACGTCTTTCATTAGATCTTGATGATGATTATCAGGATATTTTAAATTATTTTGAAGATACATATATAGGTTGACTTCGTCCTCCCAATACACGATGTCAACCAACATTTAGTATTGAATTTTAGAATATGCATACAAGGACAACACAATCATCGATGTGTACGAATAATTCTGTAGGAGCATGGCATCGTCATATAGGATGTGTATTTCAATGCGCACACCTTACGCTTTGGTCATTTTTACAAAGACTAATTCATGAAGAACATGCAACACATGCTGATATTGTTCATATAAATAGTGGTGAAGTATCAAAACATAAAAGTAAAACAAATGAACGATTTGAACGAAGTCTTTTAAATCTTCTATTGCATCCGCATGATGATATTCTTATTCAATTAAATAGTACTGCACATAATATTTGCTTATAAAATAAATATTTCTTTCTTTGTTGATTATGTCAATAAAAAATTTAATATTTCATATAACAGTATGTTGAATAAATTGATTAAATTAACTTTCTCTTAAATTTTTTCAACTGTTTATGATACAAAAAGTTTAATGGATAAACTATAAATTTGTGCTCATGTTTCCCAGTGCTCAACTTTCTTGTGCTCAAGTTTCTTCGTACTCATGTTTCCGGTTCCCCTTTTTTTCAGGTGGATTGAACAATACTGTGCTCAATTTTCTTTTCAATACAGTTACCGGTGAATAAATTCACTGATGCGAAATTTGACAGCTTTCCTTAGAAAGCCCTTGATCATATTCAAAAATAATCATCATACATTGGTCTTTATCAAGATTAACCGCTTTGCTGTGCGAATGCTGCTTTTCTCAATCTTAATTAACAATAATTAATCAAAATTAAGATGGCTATATAGATGGAGAAATAGATTCTTCAAAATCTGGTTGTATGTGTTTATATTTATAAAATCTTGTGTTAATTCGTTTTCCAGTATTTTTATTCTTTTCGATTATGTACGTTCACGTTCGTTGCAAAAAATATTGTTCTTTGAAATTTTCAAAATTGTTTTTATCAGTTTCCTAAAAAAAGTGCAAATTTTATATAACTAGAATAAGGTCAACTTTTGGCCTTAGAAATTAGAGAGTAAGACTGTTTAAAACAGTTCGATTTCGTTCACAGACTGAAGAGTTTTTTGTTAAACTAAATATTTCTATTTAAATATAGATTTTGTATTAGTATCTGGCAATGTTCGACTAATAACAGGATGCTCAACAATATAAAAGTAAAGTTTAAGCGATAATATTTCTGCAATAGATTTCCTAAGAAGTTGTCTTCGAGTTTTATGTTCGATTACAGCTTACAAAAATTGTTATAGATCAGGATGAAGCCAAAATTATGTAATCTGCATACCTTTAATTGTAATTCAATCACATGGTATCTGTATTTAGTAATCTGTGTGAATATATGTCTCTAATATGGGGTTATAATAAGTTAAACATTTAAGCCGCCTTAAACTTGCTCTTTTCTTCTGACTTCCATCGGACGACTTAGTTACCTGTTGTGCACTGTTTTTTTCAAACTTTTGATGTTAATGTTTATGCAATTTCAACGAACGTCCTTCGGAAGCTTAAAAGACTATAAAATATGATCTATTTCCAAAATAAATAATACGACAGAAAGATTTATTTATAATTGGAAACATCATGCGTACCATATAAAAGTAGGTTAAGAATGTATCCAAAAGGATATAGGTCGTGAAACTAGTCATTATCTTTCTTGTCCTTTTTTTTGTTTATTACTTTCACCTTTATAGTTGCATTTTTAGCTGAATGTAAAACATTGCATTGAATATTGAATAAAATTATTTTAGACATGGCAGTAGTTGCATCTTTATTATCAAGTTTAATATTATTTTCTGTGATAATTAGCGCTACATATGCCATACTTGGTAGCGGAGACAAAAGTAAGTCTATCGTGAAACTTAACGAAGTCCGCCGATTTGAGGATATTAAGAGCCATTACACGGAGAACTTGAGTTACTCAATCGATATTCAAATTTTTCGATAGGACTTGCTTAGTGGGTAGTGGCAACATGTCTAGAAAGAGTCCCAAAATTTTTGAGTGAAATCTCCTTTCCTTCGAGATCAAATACTATCCATAATTAAAAATACGTGCAAAAAAATATCATGTATGTTCCTGTTGCCTATTGTGCAGATTCGAGTAGAAAATTTGAACACCGATGAACTGTCTCAGCAGTTTCATTTGCAAATGATGTCGATTTATAAATTTATTTAGTTTATATGGATAAATTATGCCAATCAGTAATTCAATTAGATGGGGAAACTAAGCCTGGCGTTTCGTTTTCTTTTACGAGTAGTGCCAAATATAAAGCAGATACAAACTGTACTCTAACATTTAAAACGGCACAAAAAAATCAAAACATCATTGTGACAGTCGAAAAACTGGATATTAGTGATTTCGACGATGTTACATGTGGTGATTATCTTAAAATTTATGATGGCAAATTTGGTGGAACGGTATTAAACAAAAATGCGGCAGAACAATGTGGATCGTCAACTCGCTACTATGTTGTACGTTATAAGCACAAGAATTTTTGGGTTAAACTGTGCTACATATTTATTTATTTTTTAGAGTACATCAGACGCTGTGGTATTTCATTTTGTCTCTAATAAAGCCCGTGAATCACGTGGATTTAAAGCAAGTGTAGCTCTACATTTTCCACGTAAGTAAAAAGATATAAAACATCATAGTCGAAAATATTTTCCATTATTTTTAATACTTTTTAGTTGTTAATGCGTGTCCTCAACAACTTGGATTCTACTTGTGTCACAACAAAAATTGCATATCAAAATTGTTAACATGTGACAATCATAATCATTGTGGCGATAATTCTGATGAGCTTTCTTGTGGTGTTGGAAAAAAATAATTCTTATAAGAGAATCAGTTTTTTAGTTGTTGTAGCATGCAAAAGCGGGGTTTTTTGATTGCTTGTTCTAAGCTGATAAAAGTTATCATCATGACTGTAATAAATAAAGTACTTGAACTCTATTTGAATAAGGAAAGAATGCTGTTTTTTCATATCTCTCACAACTCATATACTAGGCTGCACTCGAAACATTTTTCGAAATGGACTGAGTCTAGAAAAAAAAATGAGTTCACAGTTCAAGATTCATTTTTCATTTATTGAGAAGTTAAAAGAATAAAATACTCTTCCTGCATTCACTTCGATAGCATTGTTTGATATGAATAGTTTATATACAAATAATTCATGAGATAAGACTAATGAATATATCATAAAAAGACTAGATCGATCTTCACTAGAGATATCCACGGGTACCGTTTTTCGACCCGCACTAGATCCGAACATTTTTTTCTACCCGTATCCGTATTAGACCTGACAAGTTATCATTACCTTCTCAAGTAACTCTCTTAAAATTTAATGTATCGGGTGTCCCAGGTAAAATGGCCCTTTTTTGTTTTTGCGATAACTCCATCATTTTTTGTGCAATCTGCTCGAACTTTTTTTAAACGATGCGCCATTTAATTCTCTATAAAAACATGTGTCACCAATTTTCTCGCAGTAGAAATTCTTAGAGTTATAAAAGAAGAAGCGAGGATGTGTAAAAGTTCCACTTTAAAGTATGCTCTTTCTAATGGCCTACAAGTAACGTTTGTTGTCCACTTCGCTGGCTCAAAAAGTCAAAATTTTTTGCAAGTACCAAAAAATTCGGCTTTTTTTACAACTTGTGTCAAATAGAGTAGACATGCGGTATGCCAAATTATCAAAAGCGATTTCATCGAGCAAGTGCGACTACAGGCTACAAAATGAAAAAAAAATTATCGAAAAAAGAAAAAAGGGCCATTTTACC